TAGAATAGAATAGAATAGAATAGAATAGAATAGAATAGAATAGAATATTGGCCAAGTGTGATTGGACGCACAAGGAATTTGTCTTTGGTGTATATGCTCTCAGTGTACATAGCAGAGCGGGGTTTTTCCCCCCCCCCCCCCTTTTGTTCTTTGGGTTGCATGTGGGCGTTTGTCTTAAGTAAGGGCCACCAGGTGTCTTCCATAAGGTCAAACATCCTCTGTAACACTCATGAGGAAGTAAGTATAGAGACAAAGGAAAGAAAGATGGACAGGAAGGGAAGTCTGGCCTAGTTGGTTGAGTCATTTTACCTGCCATCCTGTAAAAGGACTACTGTGGGAATAGTAATTTGAAAAGTGACCTTTATTGTGGTGCTGTAATCCTAAAGGAATACAAACTTCCGTTTTTCTTTAAAACATTATATGTCTATAGAATTAATTTTTAAAAATTACAAATACATTTCTGGTGACCCTTTTTTTTGAAAAATGTTGGTTCATGGATACTTTATTCTTGCTTAAAAGACAGAAGGAGAACATAACCAGGAGGTCTATGCAGATAAATTTGAGAAAACTCTTCTTATATCTTTCCATTTTAGGAAGGGAATAATGGTGACTGAGATATTTTAAATTAAGTTCATGTCATAGCTCAACGGTGTTTTTATAAAAAATGGTTTAGTTAGGTTTAAATACAGAGAAAGTATGAAAAAGCAAAGGAAAAAAAATAGCCATACTGTGTCCAAACACTCTGGAAAAATTATATGGTTATAGTAACATTTTTTAAAAAGTTACAAATCCTTTTTTGTGGCCAAAATATGTGCTTGTCTTCCACACAAAAATAATAGCCCAGTTAGGTCATTCCTATTGATTCATATTCAGGGTTCTTTTATTTTCCAATTACTGCAGAGAACAGGTCCTGCCTGTCTCTAGCAAACATAAAATTCTTTAATAGGCCTTATAATACATTACAGCTCTTTAATGCGTGGTCTTTTCCAATTTTATTAAACATATTGGGCTTAAAATCATTAGGTGTCTTTCAAGAACAAGCAGAAGAATAGCAAAACCAGAATATCCAAATATTTGGATAATAAATTATTATAAATTTTATTTAAGGTTCTGAGTTCATCAGGACAATATAGTCAAACAGAACATTTATAGACGATTAGATAGTGGCCCTTTTCTTAGAAATGCGATAGAATTATTATTTAATCACATTTTGACAAGGTTTTCCGCAAACCTTATTTTCTGCTAACTCTAATCTCTCTTTAATTATTCTTTGGAAACCTCAGGAAACTGAGGACACAACACTGCTTCTCAAATCTTCTCCAAATACCATAAAAATTGATACCACTGTGATACCATTGTAAGGGAGGTGACCTATAAGAACTAGAATTAACAAAAAATGACTTAAATTGCTATCAGAGATCAATAATTTTTTTAGAGAATAAGTGTGGACAGGCTGTTGGAGCCATGCGGGCATAGGCATTATTCATTGAACACTATAGTAACTTTCAATAATTGCTGTACGAATGGCCATAACTATTCTGTTCTTGAAATTCTGGCCTTCACAAAATCCCACTGTCACACAAACACAATTTGCAACCTTCCCTGCCAGCTTCGCGGAAACAAAGTCAATTAAAAAAGCAAGAGAAGTTAGAAATTTGGTCATGTTAGTTCTTGATTAATAACTGATAGTGTTAAGTCATAAATTCCACTATTGATGAGAACAAAAATATATAATGTATTTTTTATCCATTGTCTATAATGGTGTGAATATTTATTTTAATAGGATTTCAGGATTTTTAAAGGGTATTACTCCCATAATTCATAAAATAATATATAATTTTTTAAATTTTGTAATTCTGCTCCCTTTCCACTTTGACAATTTAAGAATTCTACAAAAACTCGAAGCCTAATGCAAGTGCATTCAATAAAATACACTGTTTAATCTATACTTCCTATCTTTCTAGCAGCAGTGTGTTCTGATGTTTCTAATTATCTAACTTAAAAGCTCCAAAGCCTCTCTGATCAAATGAAGCTTAAATAAGGAAGGCAAAATTACAAGAGACAACAAAGAAGAGAAATTTAGTGAGGCTTCTCCCAAGGCCCTCCAGGAAGTGAGGTTCGTAAGTCTATCTCTGTGCTTACCGTGTCTAGCATCTCTCGTGTATGAGCAGTGGACACACAAAACCGAGCCCTGGATTCTGTGATTGGAGTAGCTGGGAAGCCAACTACAACCACACCAATGTTTTTGGATAACATGAGTCTTGCAAAAGCCCTGAGGAATAAGGAAACAAAATGAAAGACAGCTTATTTTCTTAAAATGCCATTATATTTAAAAGAACAAGGAATAAGAATTGCAAAAATAATACCAAAACATATACATATTCTGATGATATAAGAATCAATGTTAATTAAAAAAAAACACCTTCCAATAGGATTACAGCTACGATTAGTTCTTTTTTGTATTACTGTGCATGTATATGATATGGACATTCAAAAACATTTATTTGGTAGGTTTTAACAATACAATGGCATATGAATAAACAACAAGGGGCTCCTAGTCTCACTTTCCTTCCCCAGGGTTGCTTTTAGTAAACTACACTTGATAGGTTGTAATTAAATTGTCTAATTGTGGCTTCCACATGCAGTTCACTATTTATTTCTGATTCCTCTCCAAAGGATCATTTAATAAATGCACTGAATTGAAAGCTAGATTACTCTATTATCTGTCTGTCTGTCTGTTCCAGTTCATCTCTCTCCCATCCATCCATCTTCTATCCATCCATCATTGTTCTTCTCCCTGCATCTCCCACTACCCTGGGTGTAGTCTTATTGATGTGCCATATTCCTGAGCATACATAGTGTAAATCTTTAAAAGGCTATTGATAAGCTTAGTTTAAAAAAAAAAGGCTTGTCCTGTTTTGGTAATTCATTCCCATTAGGATGAGAGACTCTCATTCTGGCTGAATTCATTATTTTTAATCATATAACCAGTGAGAGTTTACCCATTGCTGAAATAATATAATAAAGAGAACTTGCAGCCTGCTTCCTCCCCACAAGATTGCATTGAGGGAGGGTAGGAGAAAGCCCCAGTTTGCTACAGGTGACTACTACCTATGTTCCTCTTACAGCTTTTAAACATAATTACAAATGAACTGAGTTTAAAAATTATATTCTGAAAATTTTGCACAGTTTTTTTGTGTAGCAGGAATTAACTTACCCAACTTTACCAGGTAAATAAAGAAGTAAAGGCACAACTGGAGAATCTTCATTGCCATAAATAATGAAGCCTAATTCACGCAATCTTCTTCTGAAGTACCTTGTGTTTTCTGCTAGTTGATTGATTCGTTGACGTCCTGAAAGAATGAATGAATTACAGAATTCAGAAAAATCATGTCTTATACTTGCTACCTAAAGACAAAAACAGAAGTATAGGCATTTACATTACAAAACACTTATTTATTTAAAATAAATTAGGAGCTCATCAGTTCTGAAACGTATGGTGCAAACTGTAAAATGGATTCATGAAATTATTTCCAACAAATACATTTGCTTAAATTATCAGGCATAAACAGCAGTAATGATGAGACCAAGTGAGATGGACATTCAACCTTTCGATTTTTTAAAAGAGGTTTCAGCATAAGCACGTAGAAGAACAACACATTTTTCTCCTCGGAACGAATTTACCATTTGTCCAATCATTTTTCTGCATGTTTATTTTAGAAATGAAAGAATTTCTAGACAACATGTGCTTAAACCATTTTAGGGAAGAAAAGGAGTGGTACTAATGGAGAGGTTCCATGCTCTGTTTAACAGACTTCTTTTAATAGAACAATTCTCTTTGTTGCTTTATATTTGAAAAGGGGAGGAGGTGTGAAATGATTGCCTCATTTCAAAGCATACTCTCTTTTTCTTTTCAAGAAAATAGAGAATGCTTCTCAACTCTACTGAAAAACACATTAGAAATAATTAGATGTTCAGAAAAAATATTGAACTCCCACGACAATTACCACCTACCTCTATCCTGCTTGAATACAATCAACTTGGATATGTCAGGATATGCAAATCTATCTAAATCTGATCTCAGAACCATTGCCAAGACCACTGACACCCTTAAATTCCTGTTCCACTTCCCTGAACTTGTGCTAGCCTAGGAGTCATTTATCCTTTCGGGATATGAACAAGAATATGAAGGAGCAAGGCAACAAGGTATCATCTTATTCAATATAACTTTTAATGTTGTACAGTTGAAACTGGCTAGCTGAACATGTTTCCAGAACCACACTGCATCTTACAAATGAAAATACTGATCTGATGGAATTGTTATTCAGCCACTTTCAACTATTTGTGAGCCAGTCAGTGAACATCATCTCACCAGAACAGTCTGTCAGTAGCTGCTTCTCTAAGTTATTGTACACTCTTGGCATATTTCATCACTGATAGTATCTAGCCACCTGTCTTTCTGTCAGCCTCTTTCTGATTGCCTTCAATTTTTTCAAGCAACAGACTCTTCCAATGACTTTGCGTTTTATGTGTTCAGAATATTTGAGTTTCACCTTACTATTGTTCACTAACTGCTTTCACTGAGTAGTTGGAGGGGGCAGTTTTATTTTGTGGACCCTTACAGGTTTCCACAAGTTTTGGACAATTACTATCCAATCTTCAATCTTCTCTTAGCTGTGTAAAGGTAAAGGCTGTGGGGACAGTGATTCAAGATGACCTATGATATGGGGCACTCTAGAAGAAATGAATTATCTAGA